AATTTTCATTTCATTTCAGCTGTTCAGATTTCGGTAAAAAAGGTGTGATGTTCCTTACAACACATGTAGAGCAGTTCCTCGCGAAATAGTTTTTACCATTAAAGAAAATCCAAAAGAAAAGCGATTCTCCACAATGTTAAACATAAGAATCTTATGGTCGGTTTGTATATCACCTGGTTTGGTACACTGCATTCTCTTCAGGAAAAGAAACGAGTATCGGTGGGTCAATATGTGATCAATCTGACTAGATCGATTCCCACATGACCAGGTCCGCTTGAAACTAGAATTGGCCTTAGTGCTTCTTACCACCAATGAGTACAGGTTCATGAAAAAACGCATTTGCTGTCCAATTTCGTTAAAATGCTCGAGTCCTACAAACTTGCCAATAAGAATTTGTTAATCAATGGTTAGGGTGTTTGAACCGAGCTGGCTGTTAAAATCTCCAGCGATTATCAAACGTCGTGGGTCTTTGAGTCCACCGACCAAAGAGCCCAGTCCAGCAAAAAATCTGGAGCTGTTCTGATTAGGTCCATGGACATTAACAATAAGCATCGGATGGACAACAGCACCAAACTGAAAGAATTCAACAATTTCAACAACAAAACACAGAAGTAAGTACGCTGGCAGTTATTACTTGATAAGAAATTTCAGTTAATTCAATATTGGAAACCCAACTCTTTCGACGATGGACGCTGATTTTGGCACCGATCCTTACGAGCAGTGCCAATCCTCGTTTTCTACTTCTTGATCGGTCGCCCAAGTACCACCTGTAATGCGATGTCATTGCTTCGGCTCCCTGAAGATTCACTTCCTGAAGCACAGCAATATGAACATCTTTGGACAACAAGAATGAATCGACCATATTCCTTTTCTCAATCCCTCTACATCCATTCACGTTTAGCGAAGCAAATCGTAACCCAATGCTTTGATCAAAGGGGACAGCCTGGACAGCGATTTCTGGAGTGGCACATATCTCTACACGAGCAACGTTTTCCGCAACCAGCAGAGGATCTTCTTGAAGATTTAGAGATGTGTCCAGTCGAATTCGTCTGATGTTCAGAACACTCGAATATCGATTGTAATTTTCCAACAAATTAATAGTGACGGTACTTCCATTGCGCACGGGAGCTAGCCGTACGGTTTGCTGACTAGTACTGTGCAGGTAGATATTTATATTCATCAAGGAAGATAAAAGTGTCAGGAAGCTTCTCCCAACGTTATGGCGTCCAGTTTTTAGGCGGAACAGATAGGTGTCAAAGTCAGCCCCTGACTCAGAAATTCCCAATGAGGTCAACACGGAAGTTAAGTTAAAGATAAGTTAAAGATAAGTTAAAGTTAAGTTAAAGTTAAGTTAAAGTTAAGTTAAAGTTGAGTTAAAGTTGAGTTAAAGTTAAGTTAAAGTTAAGTTAAAGTTAAGTTAAAGTTAAGTTAAATCATTTTATATTCTGATTATACTCACGAGTGCGTGTGTGTGCGTGTGTGTGTTTTTGTGTTTGTGTACCTATCATAAATCACTACAATCAGCATTAGTTTACCAAAAACGATCCCTGCTGCTGCAAACCTTTCCCCACATCCAACATCCCAGTGATTTCTCGTGGAAGCGCAGAGGATTTCTCGGTTTCCTTCACAGCGAGTATCACGTCAACACATTCCTTCCCATTCCTTATTGGACCTGCATTCGGACACGGCCGGCGCTGGTATTGCTAAATATTAGATCTTCAGTTTTTACACATTGAGGATGAATGTTAGTCCCAAACATCATCTGTTGGTTCTCTGTGTAATTGCAGCTGATCTGGCAATAACAGAGTAGCAACCGTGGGTGGTCAATAATGCTAATGCTAAATGCTAAGAAAATCCAAAAGAAAAGCTGTGGAAATTATCCTCTGTAAATTTATATGCTTTTTTCGGTGAAAATTTCATGATGGTATCTCATACCGTTTTTGAGATATGCCCGAAAAATTGATCCGGTCCGGTCTAGCGCTCTTCTTAAAAAAAAATCAAATTGTTTTTTTCCTTTCATTTGTTTTCCGTCGATCTTGTTTTCCGTGCTGAGCACCAATGCTACCGACTCCAGGGAGGCAGCTCCCACACCTGGACCCTACTTATCGACCCATCAACTCATGAAGTGGGGACCAACGGTTTCACTTCACTTCCGAAGGAAGGCGTGATCATAGATGTTATGCCTCAGAACATCCCGGCGGCGCCGACTGGGATTGAACCCAAAAATCAAATTGTTAATATAATTTGATTTAGAATTGTTTGTGCTCATGTTTCTTCCCTGTTGTTTAGGTGCCTGGTGTGCTCTCGCTTTGTTGTCGGTGTGACTCGACCGCACTGATCTATTATTAGGTTTTTTAGATCGGTCCGAGGGGGACGACTCTATCTACGATGCAGAAAAGATTGTGTTTTGCTGTGGCTAGCTGCACGCACGCTGAGTAGATAGAAGGAAGATTTATGTCGATTTTGAAGATTTCCTGCAAAAAGATAACGCGCGATGCAGGTAGATGTGAGAAATGAAAGATGATTTTTCGAAGATTGATTCGCTAGTGTGAGATTTTTGGAGCATCTAGAATTGAGATTTAGATGTGTCGCCCACCCTCGGATCAGTCGGGTGATCATCGTCACTATCCATATCTAATAACGCTGTTAAAACCCGTTATAGGTAAAGATAGATATGTGTTGAAGATATGATGTCTGATGAGAATAAAGAGAGTTGCTAAAAGCTTGTTGAAGTATCAGTCAGTAACCGTTGGTTATAGGAATTCATCATCAAATTCATCAAATAGTGTGTTAAAAATTGGACGCAAGTGTATTCACCTTGTTTTTTCTGCAGGAAGCCAAATTTAAGTAAGTTTTTAATGACTCAAAAATTTCAATTGATCACTTCCAAGACCTTTAACACTAACACAAATTTTATGCTTCAACAGGGCTAATCATGGATAAGGTAGCGTACTACAACCATAGAGGTAACTCTAAGACTAGAAGGTCCCGAAATAACGTGCTCAACTTTTTGGCTCAGCTCTGGTACTCTCTTCGGTCCCAAGCTAATCGATTCACCCCTCGAAACATAGGAAAAACCAATCACCCCTCATTTTATCTGTCAAACTTTCATAGCGAATCAAAACAAACATTGCGTAGTACTAGAATTTCGACTAGAATGGGATACGTTAATCGTTTGCTTGGGACCAATAGGCTAGTCAAGTAGTGAGCCAATTTAAAATCGTTAGTTTCGTATTGATTGTTGCTACAATGTTCAAGCATATTACTGTAATCCCTTCGAAATAGATGGCCACAAAGGAGTGAGGAAATCTTTGCGGTGTGTTACTCAGAACAATATGTTTAAGTCACATTCGAAAGGTATGCAATGGGTAACGGACAAAATGAAACTGTGTACATATTGTCGACCAAAGCTGTCACACAGCAACGAGCATGAGGATTTAGCATAGCAAATTATTGGCCAAACTGGAAGTACAGTTCCACTTGTCCTTTGCTGCTGTAAGCCTGGTGGAGTCATACCAACAATCAATACGAAACTAACGATTTAAAATTGGCTCACTACTTGACTAGCTGCTTGGGACCAAAGCAAACGATTAACGTACCCCATTCTAGTCGAAATTCTAGTACTACGCAATGTTTGTTTTGATTCGCTATGAAAGTTTTTCCTATGTTTCGAGGGGTGAATCGATTAGCTTGGGACCGCAGAGAGTACCAGAGCTGAGCCAAAAAGTTGAGCACGTTATTTCGGGACCTGCTAGTCTTAGAGTTACCCTATGCTACTAGTCTTAGAGTTACCTCTATGGTCATACCTTCGTGGAAGAAGACAGACGGTGAATGTCGTCGTTGAAATGTGTCGAGAGAAGGGCACTTGGAATGCCGTCAGCAGGGCAGTCACGCAGATCATGTCGGAGCTGCAGCGTAAATGGAGAAACGAGCAGTGATCTAGCGAAGCCAGCTAGCGCTGAGAGTATGACAAGTGCATGAGCACACCCAACAAACAATTTTAGCTGCAGACTAGCTTATACAGGCAAAAATTAGCTGTATAAGCCAATTTTTGGCTGTATAAGCTAATCTGCAGCTAAAATTGTTAGTTGGGCAGCCACCCCCCGAAGTAGTCGCTTCACAGTGGTCCCGGGGGGATCCAGACAGAGGAGAGAGTAAGAAATGGGTTGTAGTGTACTATAAACACACACAAAAATATGAAGGACGACGGCAGGACGCCAGACTGTTAAAACGGAGGAGCGAACGTGTTCGCAAGGAGCGGGATATTGCAGAGATCACCAGTGTCGAACCTGGGGGCCGCTGCGAGTTCCAACAGAGCAGCCAGGCATTGTACTAAGCCAGATATTCACATCAAGAACTGCAGCTTGGGAGAACCAAAATGACGGAGGTCAGGAAGAAGATCGTTGAACCCTATGTGTTCGTAAAGGATAAAAACAACGTACACTAAGAGATCAAGCAACATGTGACTGGAATCCGGCATAACAGCGGCAGATCGGAAATTCCAAGAGTGGAGAATAAGAGCCGAAAATGCCGAAAAGGCTCTCCTGGAGGCCAAGGAGAGCATAAGACTGGCTGAAGTACTTGAGACGCCGAAGGGACCCACAAATCCAGCGTCCTGAAAAGAGAAATAGGGACACTTCAGGAGATGATGAGGAGCCCAAAAAACGCAGGGATGACGAGGAAGGCATCAAAAGAGATGAGAGAAAATGGTGGGTGTAAAGTCCAGAATTAGAAGGACAGAAAGAAAAAAAAAACAGATGGAAGATGAAGTTAGGAAGAAGAAAGAGGAAGCGAGGAAGAAGGAAGAGAAGAAAAAGGATGACAGGAAGATCAAGGAGAAGCCTAGGCCTCATATGGAGAGAAGCAAAGGGGACGCTCTGGTTGTTGAGGCGAAGGACAAAACGTCCTACGCAGCACTCATCCGGAAAGTGAGGGAAGATCCGGAGTTTAAACAACTAGGCGAGAACGTGGTGCAAACCAGGTGAACCCAGAAAGGCGAGATGCTATTTGAGCTGGAAAGGGATCCTACGGTTAAGAGCGCAGCTTTTAAGGAGCTGAACGATATCACAACGGAACACGAGTTCAATAGTGCGCTGAAGGTGCAATGCAACCTGGGAGACGTACCAATTGGAATTCGGTTGAGGAAGGCGTATGGTGGCACGCAGACGGCATCGATACGAATTTCTTCGGACGCAGCTAACGAGCTGCTGAAGACAGGCCGAATCAAGGTTGGGTGGTCAGTATGCCCCCTGAAAGCTATCCCTCGGGCTACCAAGCAAATGGAGAGATGCTTTAACTGCATGAACTTTGGTCACCAGGCGAGAAACTGCAAAGGCCCTGACAGATCTGATCTGTGCAGGAAATGCGGAGAGAAGGGGCACGTTGCAAAAGACTGTACGAAGCAACCGATGTGCATGCTCTGCAAAAAGGAGGACGGAAACGGCGTGTGACGGGAAGCTTCAGGTGCCCAGAGTTCATGAAGGCGATTGTGGGCCAGCAATAATGGAGGTAACCCAAATAAATCTCAATCATTGCAACTGTTGTGGCAGTCAACAACGGAAAAAAGTGCGACGTTGCTATCATTGCAGAGCCATATCGAGTCCCTCTCGATAATGGTAATTGGGTGGCGGATAGAGCAGGAATGGCGGCCATACAAGTCATGGGCAGGTATCGCATTCAACAAGTGGTGGCGGGTGGTTACGAAGGTTTCGTGATCGCCAAAATCAATGGAATCTATGTATGTAGTATGTAGTTGCTACGCACCCCGAAATTGACAATTGAGCAGTTCCACCAGATGCTAGATGGGCTCACCGGAGAGCTCATTGGACGGAGATCAGTCGTCATTGCAGGAGATTTCAATGCTTCGGCAGTGGATTGGGGGAGCAGATGTACCAACGCAAGAGGGTATAGCCTGCTGGAAGCTCTAGCAAAGTTGAACGTCAGTCTGGCCAACTTAAGAATCATCAGCACCTTCCGCGAAGATGGTAGGGAATCCATTATCGACGTCACTTTCTGCAGTACGTCGCTTGTGGCAAGTATGAACTGGAGAGTGTGCGAACAGTACACCCATAGTGACCATCAGGCGATCCGGTACAGTATCGGCGAACGGACACCGGTGGAAATGCGGAGGACGAAAGTAAGCGAGAGGAAGTGGAAGACGAAGGCAGTCAATAAGGATCTCTTCATCGAAGCTCTAAGGGTAGACAGCAGCGTCGCGGGTCTAAGCGCGAACGAGTTGACCGAATCATTAGCAAGGGCATGTGACACAACTATGCCGAGTAAACTGTGCCCCAACAAGCTGAAAGTAATCGTGGAGGGACTTTTCCCACAGCATGACCTAACGACCTGGCCACCTACACCATATGGCGAGGATGATGGAGACAACGTTGAACAAGTCTCCAACGAGGAACTCCTAGCAGCAGCGAAAGGGTTGAAAGCGCAGAAAGCTCCAGGCCCGGATGGAATTCCCAACTTGGCTTTGAAAGCAGCGATACAGACGTTCCCGGACATGTTCAGGATGGTGCTGCAGAAATGTCTGGACGAGGGTCAGTTCCCTGGTAGGTGGAAGGTACAAAAGCTTGTGCTGCTGCCGAAACCCGGAAAACCGCCGGAGGATCCTGCATCGTATAGGCCAATATGCTTGCTGGATACTGTCGGAAAGCTCTTGGAGAGTGAACACGGATTGTCGGAGAGGCAGTTCCGGAAAGGGAAATCGACGGTGGATGCAATTCAGACAGTGATTGACAGAGCTGAGAAAGAGGAGATCGATACTGCCCGTGATTACGTTTGATGTGAGGAATGCATTGCTAGAGGTCATCGCCAAGGCGTTCCATAAAGTGAGGGTTCCAGAGTTCCAGAATTACTTCTGCAGGATTCTAAGTAGTTACTTCCAGGACCGGGTCCTGGTCTACGAGACAGACACGGGGCAGAAATCGCCTAGGATCACGGCGGGAGTTCCCAAGGCTCCATTGTAGGTCCCACGCTGTGGAACGGAATGTACAATGGCGTGCTGATGGTCAAGCTGCTTAAAGGAGTTGAGATCGTTGGCCTTGCGGACGATGTCGTCTTGATGGTAACAGGTGAGACCCTGGAAGAAGTGGAAATGCTGTCGGCCGAGGCGATAGGTACGATTGGTAACTGGATGCAAGGAGTGAGACCGAGAGATAGCCCACCACAAAACAGAACTGATGTTGGCCAGTAACTGTAAAGCAGTGCAGCGGGCAGAAATCATCGTTGGAGAGCACACCATTGTTTCGAAGCACGTGCTGAACTATCTAGGAGTGATGATCGACGACCGGCTAAACTTTAACAGCCACATCGAGTATGCGTGCAAGAAGGCGGCGAAGGCCATCAACGCAATAGCCAGAATCATGCCGAATAATTCTGGTCCAAGCAGCAGCAAGAGACGTCTTCTGGCTAGTGTGTCTTCATCGATACTAAGGTACGGAGGTCCAGCCTGGATTGAAGCACTGAAAACGAAGCAGAACCAAAGGAAATTGAGCTGTACGTTCTGGCTCATGGCCATGCGAGTCATAAGTGCGTACAGAAGCATTTCGACGGAGGCAGTATGCGTTATCGCCGGTATGATCCCAATCGGCATCACCTTGGCGGCGGACTACGAGTGCTATATGTTGAGAGAAACCAGAGGAGTACGAAAAATGGTGAGAATGGTGTCGATGACTAAGTGGCAGCTGGAGTGGGATGCAGTGGAAAACGGTAGATGGACACACATGCTAATACCGATTGTTTCGACCTGGGTGAACAGGAAGCATGGAAAAATTAACTTCCACTTGACGCAGTTCCTGTCTGGTCATGGTTGCTTCAGGAAGTACCTGCATCGGTTCGGACACACAACGTCACCCTTCTATCCGGAGTGTGGGAATGTGGAAGAATCACCAGAGCACGTGGTCTTCGAATGTCCTAGATTTGATGCAGTGCGAGAGGAGATGCTTGTCCTCAGCGCGGAGAATGTCGTCGAAGAAATGTGTCGAGAGGAGCGCACCTTTAACGCCGTCAGCAGAGCAGTACCGCAGATCATGTCAGCGCTGCAGCGAAAATGGCGACAAGACCAACTAGAAAGTAGTAATGTGCTCACACAAGTGCGAAGTGAAACTCAACGCCGGGAGAACTCTCCGTCGGAGTAGGCTGAATCCACCACCGCCGAGTAGAACGCGACGCTGGGAGCTAAATGGCTCACAAATTAGAGAGACGATCAGCGAACTGGAAGCGCCAGTTAGGTAAGGTAAAGTGAGGTGCGTAATGCACTGCCCCTCCAAAGTATATAATACGACAAGTGGTTCCGGGGGAAAATGGCAAGGCGTCCAAGGAGGTTTTAGTCGGTAAGAATCACACGCACCGTGCTACCGCGACCGTGCGCCCGGTCGTCAAGCGGTGACATGATGGCCTTTTTGAAGGCTTCCTCCCTGCCAAAAAAAAAAAAATTCGCTGGACATTGAAAGCTGAAGCAAGAAGCAGGAAGTTGAAGCATGCCCGAAGGGAAACAGTAAGGACTCTACCCGGAGGTAAAAGAACGTATGAATTCCATAAGAACCACTTATGAATTTCAGCCACAAGAAATCGATATGAATTTCGTAGATTTGCCTTATGAAAAATAATGTCGCCAAATAATAATTAAACGGAGCCGACTGGAATCGAACCACGGGGGGGGGGGGGGGGGTGAGGGGGTACCACTCGTCTGTGAACGCTTGGATAAATGGACAGACTAAAGGCGTATAAGAGCTACCTTATGTTAGACGAAAATCTTTCATAAGTCGCGCTTATGAAATTCATATGTGTCGTGAAATGAAATTCTTAAGTCTATTTGCCTCAGTGTATGGAGAGGAGCTAACTCTGGTGTTCAGCCAGATGTTCACACCGATATCTAGCAGTAGCAAACCTCAAGCCGAACAGAAAAAACTGCAGCTTGATAAAACGAGAATAATGAAGGTCGAAAAGAAATTGGGTTGCTTAGGGGTATTGAGGTAAATACATATTCGTTATCTGCACTAAAAATTAAACCGAAATCCAAAATTTCATCAATTTTGGTACACTGGAACTATTTTAAATAAGTACGATTACAATAGCAAAAAATCACCATCTTAGCGCCCCTTGGTGGGACTTTGTATGGGAGCGAGCTGTCAATGAATAGATTTAGTGTCAACGATTAAAAATTTAAATATTGTTTCAAAAATCGAGATGAATGTCTACAGGATCGATAAAAATATCGTTGTGCTCAGAAAACAAAGCTCTATCAGATGATGTATTAAAATCGGTATATTTTTCGAAGTTAAACAACCCAATTGATCTGAAACACACCGTGCATCATAAGATCAAGTAACTATTGCGAGGTATCGAATCAGGTAGGAGCGGCAGAACGGCAACAGGTTTTCACGGAGAACGCACGATTGTCTGTAGTGGAGAAGCCACCGAAGAAACCCCGAATTCATGTACGGAAAAGAAAGATAGGGATACGTCAGAAGAGGAAGAGGAGTCCAAAACATGTAAGCACGATCAACAAGGCAACAAGGAGCTAAAAAGATGAAGTGGGCAGTGGATGGCGTACCTTAGAGGTGACTCTAAGACCAGAAGGTCCAGAAGGAACGTTCTCAATTTTTTGGCTCAGCTCTGGTACTATCTTCGGTCCCTAGCTAATCGATGCACCCCTCGAAATATAGGAAAATCCTCGAATCCCTCATTCCATCAGTCAAACTTTCGTAGCGAATCAAAACAAACATAGAGTAGTACTACAATTTCGCCTAGAATGGGGTACTTTTATCGATTTGCTTGGACCAATGGGCTAGTTTCGAATTGATTGTTGGGCGTACTATCGAAAATCAGAAGAAGAACAGTAAAAACAAAAGGAGGTGTCAGAAACGGAAGTCAAAGACGCACATACACATTTCGAAAAAGTATTCATTCAATATGATGCACACAAATCAAGCGTCAGATGTCATACAAGCTTACATTTTAAATCATGTAAAGTTATGAGATATTTCATGAAATATTTCAAATGTTGTGAGCAACAATCAAATTGGTTCATTGCAAGTTGTTTGCTGAGTGGAATATTATGTCGAACATTGAATTAATTTGAGTTCAAGTGTGTCAGTAATGATCAAGACCAAACTGATCCAAAAAACATATCCCTGAGCGTAACCTGAATAAGTTTCGGATTCGTAAATTGTGCAGTTAGCACAATGATAGTCTCGAAAATTTCCTAGACTGACCCAGGATCGTACCCACTATCTGTAGGTTCACATTTACTGCGGAAGATGTCTTTGACAGTACCGTTAATGTGTTTGTTGTTTTAACAACTATAACTAGAGATCGTTAAAGTATGATTGTTGTACCGATTGTTAGAAAAAAATCTTACGGATTTTTTTGAGGTTTATGGTTGTATGGGGTACACTTTGTGAAAACTGAAAAAGGAACATGTTACAAAATTATGAAAGATTTTGAACGTAAATAACTCAGCTGCCCCTGGACCAATTTCAATAATTTTATCACCATTTGATGAGAAATATTTCTACGCAACTGCTACATTTAAGACTTTATCATTTTTCAAAATATCACTATTGAATATTGCACGAATGTACAACTGTTGCTATGATAATTAAAATTATCACCGATTACCTGCGAAAAGCAATTTCCCTAACGCAGATTTCAAAGTTGAATCTCATCCGGTCTCACCAAACGGTGTTTATTCAATCATCCCGTGGTAAGTGCCGGTCTACAGTACACAACGAAAGGCTCCCTGCAAGCAGCGAGCTGCAGCCAACATGAGCATCCATAGAAGCCGCACCACTATGGATCGGAATCAGTAGCTCTTCGTGAGTCGCTGCTGGCCATCTATGTCAAGCGCGTCATACTAAAGAGTATACACAGAAAGAACCCCGCTCAAATTCCTATTCCTACACAAAACACAAGCTCCTGCTGCTGTTAACAAATAAGCTTTATTATATAAGACCACGTAGTCCTACGTCACCATTGCGTACAACCCCATAGGGCTGTCCCTTGTAGTTTTTTAGATTTAAAATACAGATGGAAGCATGATAAAATACAGCCACACTATATAAAATTAGCCAACTGTACACCCAACCTTGGGGCAAGACAGCTTTTGATCATGAGTAAAATCGGAGTTAATTTTGAGTAACTCTGAGTAACTCGCGTTGCTCAACATAAAATACACATAGCAACCGATACTGTCAAGCAAAGCAACAACAACTTAAACGGTGCGCTTGCAATGGTTTACTGGGAAGACCTTTCAGCAATGAAAGGGCAATTGCACGTGTATGAAAGGAACTATAAGCTGCCCCCCAAATTGATGGAAGATTTTCATGGTAACCTTACGGAACAGTCAGAGCTGTCTTACTTTACTGCCATGCTGATGACGTTCTATTAGGGGGATTTTGTACAATCTCTAGGAGGGTTCCAGTCAATCGCAAAGGGGATTTATGACAGTCTCAGTAGAGATTCCGAGCAAGCCTAGGGGGGATTTCAGACAATTCCAGTTCGGTTTTCCAACAATATCAAAGGTAACTTTAGAAAATCCAAAGAAGGAATATTAACTATCCCAGGGAGGATTCTGCTCAATCACAGGAAGAATTTCACTCAATATTGAGGGAGATTCATGACTGTTCAGGGGGGATTCCATATAATCCAGTCAAACCAAAGGAAGATTCTGGACAATCCCAGTATTAAAAAATGGTATGTGATGGTTCCTACATCCTTTCGACGATCGCTCATTGAAAAACTTCATGTAAGTTTCAGAATAGAATCAACTATGAAGTTGGCCAGAACTAACCTATTTGGACATGGGATGAACAATTAAATAAAAGACTGTATTCAACAATGCTCCTTTTGTGTTAAATATCGATCAAAACAACAACACCAGACGATGCAAATTCAACCTGTTCCTGTTCAACCTTTTTCAACTCGTGTCTATTGATGTCTTTTTGCAGGAGTATCAGGGAAAACAACGAACGCTTCTGGAGAGAGTTGACCCTAACTCTGACATTTTCTAGCTAAATATTCTCAGAGATTTAAACCCCTCTTCCTTAATGAATGCTGGTAAATAAAATGTTGCTTATCACGAAAGAGTTTCCTCATTTCATGCATGTAGTGCAACAAAATATGAAACCTGTTTGACCGATTTTGTGAGATTGAGTATTAATTTTCATGAGCTAAATTAATCTCCTGAAAACATTTGGCCAAATTCATACTTCCTTAGTCTTGAAATCACACCATCTAGTGTTTCTTACCCTGGCAATTTACCAGAATTATCATTTCCCGATTCCCAGAAAACTAGTTTGACTTCCCGAGAAGCAGTTTATTTGTACGAAAACCATGTTAAACATATGTTAAATTAAAAATGACCACACAACTTTTGGGAAAAATTGATAGAAATTTCCGGAGAAAGTTTTACGAATCTTGTGCGAAGTCAGGAAAGCTTCCTGGCGAAGAATCTTTCAAACAAAATCGGTAGACGCTTCTAACACAATCTGTGGGAAACTCCCGGACGAAGTTAGGAGAGACTTCCATGCAAATTTAGGCAGCCAGATAAAACTTTCAGAATAATTCAGAAAAGTTTTCCGTGGGAAGTCCGGATGAAATGGGAAATAGTTTCCACTTCCAGCGGTAGGACTTCTGATTGTAATCTGATACTGTTGGAATGAAAACATGATGAAACTTCCGCTGTTTAATGGACGAAATTTACGGGAGAAGGTGGAAATTTATTGCAGGGCAAGTTAAAAAAAAAACTTCCAGGAGATGTTGGAAGAAACTTTCGTGCAAAGTCAGACGAAACCTCCCAGAGAAATCATAAGAATCCTTCCGAAGAAGCTGGTTGAAATCTTCAAGGGGAAGTTGCAAGAAACTTCCAGAAATTGTCGAAAAAATCTTCCGGGAGAAATCCTGACGAAGTTCAAGTTTTAATAAATAACTACCGAAAATATTTCCCGATTTCCGGGAAGAGTCTTCAGCTATTTTAAGATTCCCGGGTAATTATAAATGGCTGGGATATGGAAACACTAACACCACCATATCACCAAAAACTTCAAAGACATTACACTTTAGCCATCCATCCTAGAAAGCAAAAAAGACCTAAACATCCCTTGGCTTGGACAAGAGCCATCTCACTTGGATCTTTTAATGAATGAAAACTAAATCTTGAAATCAAAACATTCTGTCAGACGGGGATTGTTTGAACATTATTTGATGAAAAATATTAGACTACTTTGTTTGTTTTTGAGTAAATATTGAGTAACTCAAATTTACTCACTACAAATATATTAACTCTGAGTACAGTTGTCTTACCCCTAGCACCCAACCGAAGGAGGTAAGATTTGCTTACAAGTATGTGGGATTTATCATCGCAGGATGTTAGTGGAGAACACATGAACGGAGAGACTATACATATACCGAGCTGCGGTCCAATGCAAGAAAATGGAGAAAGAAAAATGTGGACTGTAGGATTCAGTAAGAGAAATCAATCATGCTGAAAAGAAGGACTCGAATGACGAACGTTGCGATTATCAGACCTGTTATTTCTCCACTGCTCTCTCCATGGCTCGAAATATTGATGGGCTACATTGCTTTTAAAAACTTTCGGTCAATTCATTCGTGCCGAATTAAAAAAAAAAAAATATTGTTCTTCTTCACATTTCAAGCTAATTGTTTATCGCATATTAGTTTATTGCGTGCTCTCAACTTAGTGTTCAGCGATGCACTTCCATAGTTATTAATTGAGAGCTTTCGATGCCTGTACCATTTTTGCATTAGTATATAATTGTGTGGCAAGTACAATCATACTCTATGCCCAGGGAAGTCAAGAAATTTTCCAACCCAAAAAATTCCTAGACCGGACCGGGAATCGAACCCAGCCTCCTACAGCATGGTCTTTCTTTGTAGCTGCACCTATACCGACAGAGCTAAGCGATGCCCAAAAATGCGCAGAATGTATTTAAAAACGAATTTATTCTGAAGAGTAAAACAGCTTGTTTCCATAATCCAGCATCCTGTGAAGAACCGACCAACATCAAATTTATTCATAAGTGTTCAACGTGTTCAACCGCATTCAACTGATGCGGTTACTGTGGCATTCTGCACCGTAGCCAAGAAACACTATACGCTGTAAACACAAATAAAAATAAATAATAAAAAATCCCTACCTTCAGAAATCTATTACCAGCGAAGCACAGCCAAAGTTCAACACGGTCTCTTGGATGGCCGTCGCCGTGTCCCCACACGTGTTGCACCGCGATCAAACTTACACGGTGGCTGCACCTACCCAACCAGCAACAACCAAAAGCACCAAAAGTCTATAAAATTGGTGTGCATCCACCACTAGTTAGTGCATGCTCGATTTGATCTTCGGCCTTTCTGCTCAGATAGTAGGGCCAACCAGAGCCAAGGGGGATGCACAGCACCCTGAGCCGCCCCTTGCACTCCATCAAGAGTCAACGGAAAATTTCGTGAGTGAGCACTAAAGGTCAATTCAGACAGGAGCGTGCACGTTAGCAGCAGTATGAGAGAGTCAACTAGCTCTAGTTGGCTCTGTCATACTACTGCATTGTCCCGCTCCGCTCCACGCGTGCTCGCTCACGTCTGAATACACCTTAAAGCTTCCATATGGGTGGCTGAGCTGAGGAAATGTGCTTTGGCGGGCAAGAGTGATGGAACGCGCGCGCTGCGAGCTCACTCGGCCACCGAGCCACGTGAACCTGGCAGGCAAATTCGAAAAGCGCAGTCTGCATCATGGCTCTCAGTAGGATGGTCGCAACGCGGTGTCTACTGCTCATTAGGAACGGTTCGGCTCTAACAAGTGTCCTTGGTGCGAACAAGCTTGCCGCTGATGTGCTGACGACGAATCAGTTCCGATGGATCAGTGCCAGCTCCAGGGCCGGGGAAAAGTTGGCAACGGCAAAAGTACAGGTCCAGAAGCACGATTGGAACCGGGCCGTTAGCGAGGCGGAACAGATCGTCGGTTATCCGACGTCGTTTCTGAATCTACGGTTTCTGCTCAGCGACGAAATTGCCAATGTGGCGCTTCATCTGCGCAAGTTGATCGGGAGTAATCATCCGTTGCTCAAGTCTGCCAAGTAAGTGTTTTGCTGCTGTGTGAATTTTTGGGGTGACTTGAAACTGAGAGGATTTCAGTTGTTTCGTCCAATGCTTTTTGAATGGGTTACATGATCGCGCGTGGATAATTGAGTTTCAGCTGCTTTCGGATGATCTTAGGTAACGTGCTCGAGAAGTGGTTGCGATGAAAGTAATGTGTTTGAGAAATTAAGTGAATGTGTTTTTGCACTAGAAACAAGAATCCAATCATCTAGTTTGAGGTGGGAATGAACATTTGATGGATTATGAATATGTACTGCGCACTCGGTCATTATCTCGAACGAACAGAATGGAATAACAGCCTAACTACTTTCAATCAACTGACTATGAAGCTATTGGTGTGCGCTAGTTCTGTTAGACTGGTTTGTGCAAGGACATTTCCAATACATGTAGTGAACCGACCAATAAACAATGTATGAAAGCGAACGCAATGATATTAATTCCGTCTATGGATAATCGATTGAGGTAGCGAAGAATTGCTTGCAGGGGTCTCTCTAATCAGGGGCGGCATATCATACTGGAGGTGGTGGGTTCGATTTCAGAACCTATATTGTTTTTCCTGGCATTGATGTTCTTAAGCCTGAGTATACCTGGTCTCAACTTTGTGTCATTTGAAACACTTCCACAGTTATAAATTGACAGCTTTAAATGTGTATGTCAATCAAGGAATGATGGAATTTGAATATTATTATTTTCGACTTGGATGATTTCCTAGACTGGTGTTAAAATCGAACCCGCCTCCTCTGGCTTGATAATTAGCCCACTTGCCATACAATATAATAATACAAAAATTGGTACAGGCTTGGAAAACCTTGAATTAACAACTGTGACCAGAGGTGGGAACGAGACCAAAAAAATATCATTATGAAAACTTATGGGGGACATTTTTTTCTCATATTATTTCTATATCATTTACCAGCTCTGACTGTGGCAGTGCTCAAAGAAGACAAAGTTGAGGACAGGCAAAACATTCCACTTGGGATGTTCCCAGCAAACAATTTGAGTTGATTAAAAGCTGGATAAACCATTTTTTAGCTGAAGAAACAAATATTTGGTTCAATAAGCTCTTGTTCTGTCATCAATGTTTGTTGGGTTATAGCTAAGAATAAATGTATTGTGTACTTAGCGGACCTTGTTGATCATAACTTATGAAAATATTTGAAAAAGAAAATCAATATTTTGAGACCAGAAAGCTTTTCAAGGCTTTTGGGTTTGGATTTATTTACAGGAAGAATTATCAAAACAATTTTGATGTGAATTGGAATAATTCAAAGGCTGGGCTGCTGTCAGGTGGGCCACATAAATTCATACAGCTTGGTCATAGGGTAGAGAACTACTTCGGCCTAATCGCCCATTTTGGGCCTATCGAGCAGAAAACTTCAAATAAATCCATGATTTCAGAGCTAACAAGTCAATTATGCCTTTGGTACGATACTTTAGTTAATAAGCTACCGAACGAAGTCAATGAGAACGCGTGATATGAATGTTTGCACCCATTATTCCCAAAAACAAAAGAAGCGCTCCGAGCGAATCATGTTTTATCTTCATTCGATAGGCCAAAGTGAATTCATTGGCGTTTCAATGGCGTTTCAATGTGTTAGGCCGAGTTTAGAATCCGTAGGCCGAGTTTGGCGTCAATAAGCAGTGTTAGACTTTTGACAATATCTCAACGATTGGTTTCTCTTTATCAAATCTTATGGTACGTTTGAAAGCCATCAGTAATAACAACATTCCGTTTAGTGCTAAACTGCGCTAGATTAAGAAAGACTAAGTGCGGGTTGTGCTTAATAGGCCGGAAATGAGGTAATTAACCCTATATTTAAAAAGTTAATGCAAACTGAATTTAAAAATATATTGTGATTAACATGCGTTTTGATAACTCTTTCAGATATTTTTTAGATCATTTTCGTACATTAAGGTGAAAGTGACCTATTGAGTGAATACAGTTTTCAAAAATGGTTTTCTCTGAGACTTGACTTCAGATTGCAAAAAGCTATCGTAGATGTTTTGCTTTTATTATTTTGCACAAAACGACAAGAGCTTTTTCCAATCTTAAGTGATGTCTCAGAGAAAACCATTTTGGATTTTTTTATTTACTCACTAGGTCACTTTCAGGGACCTCCCTTACAGTTGGTAAAGGCGCAGCTACAAAGCAAGACCATGCTGGAGGTGGCTGGGTTCAATTCCCGGTCCGGTCTAGGAATTTTTCGGGTTGGAAAATTTCTCGACTTCCCTGGGCATAGAAGTATGATTGGACTTGCCACACAATTATACCAATGCAAAAATGGTACAGGCATCGAAAAGCTCTCAATTAATAACTGGGGAAGTGCATCTAGAACACTAAATTGAGAGCACGCAATAAGCTAATATGTGATTTGCAATAAGCTTGAAATGCGAAGAAGAAGAAGAAGGTCACTTTCACCATAATCGCAGTTTTTTTTACTGATCTGGCATTTTTGTGAAATTTTATATATATGTATAGCTTGTATAGCTTGTTTAGTTTTGTTGTTGCTTTTTTGGTTATTTGTAAACAATTAGATTGCTATTGGGTTTTGAATTAAGGCAATCAAGGCTGTGTTTTGGCGTATTGAAGCCATTTTTGAGTTATTTAGATCATTTTGGTCTTACAGCATCTGTATTCAATATTAATGGGTCACTAGCTTATGTAATTCACTCAAAGTGGGTTGATATCGGCAAAAGTTTGTGAACCGGTGTCCTAGGGAATTCTAAACAATATTCTAAAGCAATTCCTAGTAGGCCTAATGTGAATTCAATGTTTGAGTAGAATTTTATGGTAATTTTGAAGAACGTTCCACGGGAATTGTGAGAAGAAGTCCAGGGAAATTCCAAAGGATTCCACTTTAATGACGATTCCAAGGGAGTTGTGTCGAGAACTTCAGATAAATTCTGCAATAAACTCTAAGTGAGTTGTGATAAGAAGTTTAAACACCCCCCCCCCCCCAACCTTAAAGTTTTAAAGTTTGCTTCAAAGGAATTATTGGGTGTTGGTTGGAAATGCTAACATGAAGCTTTAGTGTGATGATGTATTAGCTAGAGAATGATCTTTAGAAGAGGGTAGGTGGATAGTTCCGTTAGAGTACGGCAGTATGAAAATTGAATAGAAGTTGAAAATGAGCGAAGGGCCATTAAAGCGACAGTTTTTCAAGATAGACGCACATTTTTGCCTAGCCCGTACGATGTACGCGGGGACTTGAAGTATGTCTCCAAGTCCACAGGCAAAAATGTGCGTCTATCTTGTAAACTGTCGCTTTAATGGCCCTTCGCTCATTTTCAACTTCTATTCAATTTTCATACTGCCGTACTCTAACGGAACTATCCACCTACCCTCTTCTAAAGATCATTCTCTAGCTAATAAATCATCACACTAAAGCTTCATGTTAGCATTTCCAGCCAACTCTGAAAATCGTTAACTTCGCGTATGAAGTAACATAAAAAACACTTTGAATTATTGGGTGTTTTTTTTTGTCTTATGGTAGTATTCTAAGAGTAGATCACTTCGTAGTATTAGTTTTGAGTAAAATTCCAAGGATGTTTTTGGCTCTGAATTTCTGAGTAGAGTTCCATGGGATTGTGAGGAGCATTATAATAGAAATTCTAAGGAGAAGTCCATCAGAATGGCGAAAATAAAAAAAAGCCCTACAGAATTTTGAGGAGGAATCAAAAGAAATTCTTATAACATTTCAAGGGAACTCTCACAAAAGATTCAAAGGCGTCCAGAGTTAAAATTTCATGTGAATTCTGATAAGAAATCAAAGGGAATGTGTGGATAGTTTTGAAGGAATTCTAAAGAGAATTTCGAAGATAGTTTCAAGGGAACTATTCGAAGAAGATTCCAAGGAAATTCTAAATAGAATATCAAAGATCATCTAATAGCATTCCAAGTAGGGTTTGAATTTTCTGGGAACGAATTCCGAATATCCCGGCAAACTTATGTATTCATTCACATATTGCTTTCGATTCAGCTTATCTTGATGTCCACCGTTAAAATTAATCATTAGTTTAAAACCAAAGATGAATACTAAGATGAAACTGTCGGAAGAAAAACTTTCTATTTTAGTGTCCTCTTTCACGGTCCCTTTCATCCAATGAATACCCCCCCGTATTCAAGGTAATTTTGTGGTTTTGCTGCCCCCTCGGTAGAGATGAAATTTTGCGCCCATTTTTATCAAAACAAACACACCAAAATCAGAGGTGTCCCATTTTTTAATTACTCGATTAACAACTAATCGATTTTTTTTTGTTCGCTGTGCTGTCATTTTTCCACCAATGAGTTGTTGTAGAAGTGTTGTTGAGAAGTTGGAGAAGTTAATGCTTATATCGGCATGATATAACCGATTACAAATATTTTACTTTTCGGTTCGTTAATCGATTAATCGATAATTCGAATGAAAATTGGCCATCACTAGATGAATGTGAAACGTCATTTAAAAGATAAGGACCGTACATAAATAATGATACCAAGAGCAAATTTTCATTATGTCGTAAGTAACATTCGCACCAATCCGAGAAAAATAAGGTTTTGTTTTGATGACCGAAAAGTTATTCCTATTTCCAAATAAACACATATAATCTCATAGTGATAGCAATGTTAAACATATTTAGCAGGGTTTTAATCATACAAATGCAAATCGCTAGCTTTCATGCTAAAAAATACTGGTTTTTGAGTCAAAAGTTATTATACGTCGTTTGGTGGCCCCTATTGTTACTTTAGTCAAAGTGTATTTACTAGGATATTCGGGAGAATTATCAATTACGTCTCCTTACGTGCAGCCCATTCATCATTTTAGGACCACCGAAAATCATCTTAGCAACAAACAGTTCGATTTATTCACTTTAATAATGAGAAAGCGAAACGACGAACGTACACTTTTCACGAGTTTCTCAGCGCTGTTACTTAAGTCAAACGGCATCTCCATAGAAATTGGGTGACTTAAGTAACATCGAAAACTATTTTGATCGG